AATCCCTATTATTATAAGAAGGGTGCGGTTTATAGAGCCGAGGCTCTAAACAATCAAAAGAAAGTGCACCTTCAAATAGTGTCGAGAAATGTGGTTTCAATACTGAAAATCTTTGTGATAGTCTTAAAATATAGTTTCATCTGTAATTATAAAATGTAAAGCTTAAAAAATAGTGTAGATTGAAAAGATCTATGAAAACTTGAAAATCTCGAAAATTGAGATCTAAAAATACGTTATAAGATGCACCATTCCAAAACTTGGAATCTATTTTTTTCTCATGTCCATGCATCTTAATATCGAGATGATCAATTTGAAGACATTTGGGTATCAAAACAACCTCTTCTAGTGAAAAATTTGAGGTGTGCTCTAATTTGATTGTTTAGAACCTTGGCTCTATATAAAAGTTTCCCTTTTAAGAACGGACGATGTTATGTATTATATGCAGCTCATAATATTTGTTTGATAAACTAAATAGGGCTTTTTGCTTGATGCTTGTTTGTTTACTAACACTAGCATTTGGGTTAAAGGAGCCTTCTTGCTGTGAAGAGTATCAGATTTCTCTAAAGCGACTCCTTGTGTCCATTGATTAATATGAATATACATACTTGTATTTTATAGACCAATTATAGATGACACTAATAGAAACTAAATCATAGACACCTAACTATGCACATACTTATCATAGAATACATGACACAATATCTTACCATTTTCATATTTATTGATTACAATATACACCTTCCATATTAACTGGATATATACTTTCATTTCACACTCCCCCTCAAACTCAATATGCTATGAAAGAGAGCAGCTAGAATTTGAACACCAAGTCATGGAAATGAGCCGTTCGATCTTCAGGTGAATGTTCAGATTGCTTGATCAACAAGCATAGAAAGCAGCGGCAAATCAACAAGTCTCAAGAACAAATGGCTTCAGGAACTCTTGGAAAAGATCAAATACATCAGAGAGTCGAAACATGACTCGGCATAGAGACAGATCAGAGAGTTGAAACACAACAGGGCAGAGATGACAGATCAGAGAGTCGAAACACAACTCAACAGAGAGTCGAAACATATCTCGACAGAAGTTGCACCGACTAGGTGAGCAAAATGCTTGACTTGAAAATTAACAATAATGCTTTAGAGACGAGGAATTTGACATAGCTAAGATGAATTTGTCTCTGATACCATGTGAAGAGTCTCAGATTTCTATGAAGAGACTCCATGTGTCCATTGATTGATATGAATATACAGACTTGCTTTTTATAGACAATTTACAGATGACGCTAATGAAAACTAAATCATAGACACTTAAACTATGCACAAACTTACCATAAAATACAAGATACCTACTCTTCCCATATTTACTGATTACAATATACACCTTATATATTAATAGGATATAAAATATATACTTTCCTTCCAACTCGCATCTTGTCAACCATATGATGCCAACAATAGATGGTTGAGGTGTGTTGCTCCTTTGCTTAATGTCTTTTAAAGTTTTTGATGGCATTTGAACAAATGAATTAGGATGAAAATTTTCTTAACCAGTTGTTGTGGATATTGAAAAAGATAAGGAAATAAAAGAGAGAGAACAATCATCTATGTGACATGTGAAACAAGATAGAGAAGTTTTTAGAGAGAAAGGGAGGAGAGTCTCCTCCTTATTGGGGATAAAAAACAAGAAAAAAGAAGTTTATAATAATGAAGGACAATAAATTTATTTAGTATTGATAATTAATATTACATAATTTTGTCAACCAATGTCCTTAAAAAATCCATCAGTTTGTCATCAAAACAATTACTAGCATAAAAAAGAAAAGACCAAATCTTTAAAGAAACCATCTCACCCAAATACATATCCTATTCATATGCTCTCAAAAAACAATAAATAAAAAGTAAAATAATAATAATAATGGCCTCTCTCTCTATATTGCTCTGCTTTTTCTCTATATTGCTCTGCTTTTTATCAACCTTTAATAGTACTACCATTACGTGAAATCCACCATCCAAAAAGATCTCACCTTACAACCATTAGGTGAAAGATGAAACCCACCGTCCAAAAATATCTCATTAAAAAGATCTTATTAAAAAGATCTTACAAAAAAATTGATAGAAAGAGAGAGATAGACGATCTCGCCAAATATATCTTACCAAAAATAATGCTTTAATGTTTGAGTGAGGTGTGATGGAAAGAAATGAGAGAGGAAAGACACTACAGGAAACATTTTTTTAAGAGAGATTTTTGGAGAGATTTAATGAAATATTTTATTTGAGAGAGATTTTTGGAGAGATTTAATGAGGGGGAATTTTGGACAAGCATTTTATGTTTTCCCTACAACATAAAACTCATATACTTCCTCCTATCCAGCTGTCCATTTTCTATGGAGGGCTAAGATTACTCCAATCACAATGTCAAGTCTCTACATTATTTTATTTTTAATTTTTTTCTCCATCCTCTATTAAACTCGTATTAGTGAAAAATATAAAAAAATATTTTCAATAAAATAAAATGACCAAAATACTTTTAAAAGTTTTAAGGGGTATTTCGGTCATTATATTTTTTAAAAAATTATTTTTAATAATTTTTATAGGTACGCCCAAATGAATAGACGCTGCGTATCAAATTTCATATTCATATAATTTGTATAAAAAAATTACAAATAAAATATTTTAAAATGTCATATCTAAATTGGTGGGCTGGATAGTAGAGGAAGTATGGGTGCAAGGGAAGTATGAAACCTTTCTCGGAACCTTTTACTTCGGAACTTTTTCCTAGAGAGAATTGTTGAATTGTTTTTTTACATAGAGAGATAATAGAAAGAATGACACATGTCAAAAAATTAATGCGAGTTTACTTATTATGCGGGCCTACTTGCCGACAGTTGCCGAACCGAATCATATTTTTCTTGTCTCATCTAATTGTAACCGTCGCCTTTGATATATATGTATATCCATCATCAAATAATGCAATACCTATGTAATTGTCCGCATGCCATATTACAACCCCAAATGGAAAAGCCATTAACAATAAAGAACAATAGAGCAAAAAGCCATTAACAATAAAGAACAACAGTGTAAATAGGGTGCACTCGAGGATGATGTAATCACAGCCTTACTCAGCCAATCCACTTTAGAGTTACTCCTTTAGCCAATCCACTTTAGAATTACGAGTACTTAGGAAAAAATAGATTGTTAGTTCTTAAATATTTAGATCTGACAACACAAAAGATGTTTGGATAGTCTTTGTCCAAATCTATGATATTGTCCTTTTAGGCACAAATCATGAAAATTTCTCTTTTAAAATTAGTTCTTAAGCTCAGGATTTAAACTTAGGCAGTGTTTTACTTGAGTGCGTAAATCTATAGTATGCTCTTATGGGAGCACCAAATCTCTTGCCAGAAAATGCCACGCATGTGACTAAACATTTCCTAGAAAGGGCCAAAATCTTGGGCCCCTTTTCTTCCTAGAAAGGGCCAAAATCTTGGGCCCGTTTTCTATTCCAATTGGGATATGAAGGGATTCAAGAGCTTCATTATTTAATGTTATGTCTCTTTCTTTGCAAGCAAGTTGGGTTCAATAAAATGCTTTCTTCCCTCATTTTTCTAAAATAATACACGAGTACCCACTCTACCACTATTTCTCTTGTTTATGAATAAAGTAATGAAGGGATGTTTGCTTATTTAGAAGGATATAGTGTGAACCCTAAGGATATTCTACTCGCCCGGGGGTATACTATCCATTTACTCCCTCTGATAAAACCCCACCTCGGATTAGCTTTAGGGCCCCAAAATTTGGGGATATAACCTTTTAAACATATGGATTAACCTCAATAAAATGAATTATTGATGCACCCTTGAAGCACTTGAAAAAAATAATGTCTCAGGCTTGAATAGAGACCATCCAATTTTGGAAGGTAAGATTAAAATAAATAAATTTTTTTTTAGAATAATCATCTAGTGATTCTATAGGATAGCTATAAGACTGGTACGAGTTAGTTCAAGTGATAGGCTAAAAAAGAGAAAAAGTAGGTCCAATAGGATATAGTTGGAAGTAGTGAGAAAAAATATAGAGACTTACAACTTCATTAAGGGTATGATTTTTAATAGAGCATAATCATAAACCAAAATTCATAAAACCGACTCTAATTAGTTGAAAAAAGATTATCCAAGTAGTTGACAAGAGGTTATGACGATGATGATTCTAATGTGGTTATGAAAATTTTAGATTGAAAAAATATTCCATAGTAGGTCATTGACCGAGGCAGTAGAAGTAAACTATGCTCACGAAAGAGCATAGTATAAATGGTAAATATTGATCACACGAGTAAGAGTAGTGCTAAGACACCATAAAGAGAGAGAGAGAGAATGCATTAACTCCCTCAGGTAAAAAAGATAATTATGTGGCATTGTTCTATTTGAAATATTGGTTCCATTTTAAATTTTGAATTATCTAACACTTAGATTTTGGCCTCCATAAATTGGATAATATTTGGATATCATCTTTTAGGATTGTATATGATGAGATTATTTACTTTTGGTACAAAAAGGTCACAAGTGATATGAAATCTAATAGCTTTCGGTGTATCACCAAGTTGGAGAATATTTTTTTTGAACATTGAGCCTCGTCAATAGAATAAATATAACCGCCAAGTTTCACATCCAATAGTTAATATTAATTGTGACTACCTTACATAAAAATTAAATGATCTCATTGTATACATTTCCTTATTTTTTAAAGCGTATGTGTCACTAGGTTAAAGAGGTTACCACTTTAAAACTTGGTTTCTAAAAATGCTGGTATCCTGAGATTTGCCCGAGGGAACAAACGGACAAAATGGTCCCTAGAAGCAGCAACATATAATCAGTTCTTTAAAAAATAATAATAATAATTTTAATGCACGATACATTGGTCATTTTGAGAAAGGACGAGGGCAAAGGTATTATTGATTTAATAGAAGAAGTTAAAAGCGCGTATTCGGAGTGATATGGTGCCCTACGGCCTTCCCTTCCCTCCCATCCCCTCGTTCTTAGGATCTCATTCTCTCTGTCTGTCTCTTGCTTTCTCTCTCTACATTTGTGGCCTGTAATTGTGTTGTGTGCTGATGGGCGATTACTACTCCATCCTCCTCCTTCCCAAGGACGCCTCTGACGAAGAAATACGCAGAGCTTACAAGTCTCTGGTCATGCGATGGCACCCCGATAAGAATCCCCAAAACCGATTGGAAGCAGAGGCCAAATTTAAGGCCATTTCTCAAGCATATGAGGTTCTTTTTTCTTCTCTCTGTTTTCTCTTCTTTTCTTTTTTTTTCCTTTTTACTTCTCTCTCTCTCTTTCTCATGTGTTTTTATTCTTTGTCTTTTATATTTGGGTCATTGAAATTGTTTCGTTTAATTAAAATTTCACTTGTTACAAGGAGAGAGAAACCCTTTTTTTCAATGAATTGAGTTTAATTCGCTTTGAATTGGTAGATTAGGTCGCCCCCATGAGTCAATTCATGCTTTAGAAACCCTCTTCTTTTTTTTTTTCTTTGTTTTTTTTAACACTCCCTTCTATCTTAATAGATTATTGGACAATTGACTCTTATTTTGTTAATTTTATGAGGCTGTGGATATAGGGTGATGATTTTTTTTTTATTTTATATATATGTGGTTAGGTTGTAGAATTTGGATTCTTGTGCCATTATTTTGTTGGGTGGTCCATAGATTTAATTCTTTTATTTTGTTACGCGTATGGATAATTTTATTTTGTTGTGGTTTGTATGGATTTGATTTTTTTGTTTTGATGGATGGTGTTTAGGTTTTGGGTGACAAAGAGAAGAGGAGCATGTACTACTCTGGTGGAGGAGATGGTGGAGAAGGTATTTCATCCCCCAATGATGAGCCTATTGTGGATGATGATGACTATCGGCACCATCGCCACCGCTCGTACCCTAAGAGTATGAGTTCGAACATGAATGGGAAGCATCGGAGTGCTGAAAGTGAGTATGGTACAGCTGATCGAGTGCCATCAGCTTCATTGTCATCATCATCCTGGAGAAATGGCCAGGTGAGGTGGGCAATGCACGCGACGACTTTGCCCTCAGCATTGAGGAGGAAACCGTCTCCTGTGGAGAGGAAGCTGGAGTGCACTTTGGAGGAGCTCTTCTGTGGATGTGTGAAGAAGATTCCCATCTCTAGGGATGTCGTCCGGGCTAATGGGTATTCTCTTTCTCACCTAGTGATCCTTATATTAGGGGTCACCTAAATGATCCTTATATTAAGGGTAGGCCCAAGAGGACATAGTTGAAAGTAGGGAGAGGAGACAAGAGGATTTATGGCCTTCCCGAGGTATGGCCCTTAAATGAATTCTTAATCTATAAGTCCTAATTCATAGGATCATTTAGTTTTTCTACAAGAAGTTCACCCCTACGAGGTGCATATGAAATCCGATAGCTAGGGATGTGTCATAGAGTTTAAGAATTTTTTTTTATTTTGAGCATTGCCAATAATACCACACTTTGACTACCTTGTTTCACATCCAACAACTAAGGATAAGTAGCCTTATTATATACTTTTACATAACCCACACCGTAGTAGAAAAGTTTCGACCTAACTGTCATCACCGTCCTTTTGATGAATGAGGATAATGGGTAGAGAGATGGAACCTACAATGGCATGGATGACCAGTGGGGGTGTACTGTCAATTGACATCCATCCATTCATTTGACTGTGATAACACTCAGGATCATAGATTTTCTATGGTTGTATGGGTCACAATATACTTCTCTCTTCCTAAAGTTTATAATATCAACTCATTGCTTAGTGTGCAGATTGGACGGTGAAAGCACTTGTGACCATACTGTTTCTATGGTTGTATGGACTATAATGCACATTTCTCTTCAAGGATAATGTCAGGATTATGTATGGACTATGGAGCATCTGCATATAAAATACCATGAATATTTGATTGTTCTTGGCAAAGTAGCATATGAATCCTTATGATCATGTCAATAATGTAATCACAAAGAAACCTTTTGACTGGATACTAATCCGTACAACTTGAGTGTGACCTAATGACTGAGAGAATCTAAAAGGTTGGTTCCCCATTTTCTTATTGAGAGTTTTGGTCAGGCGCGTTATTTTAATATTTATCCCTTGATGTTTTGGATGAGGTTCCGTTTGTATTTGTTAGTAAGTTATATTTATATTTGTAGCTGCATTTAATATTGTTCTCCATCTTCCATTTAAGAGAAATCCTTATTTTAGAATTGAGATGAATTGGTGTATTGCCCTGCTACCCAGGGTAAGAGAGAGAGAGAGAGTAATTTAATAACTTCCATTTTACATCTCTATTATTTAATTTGGGATTAGATGATGTATCTGTTGTTTTAGATTTTACTTCGGAAGATAGGAAGTCAAAATTTGTTTAGGAAAATAGGGAAATTGAAAAAAAAGTTATATGAGAAAGAAAACCAAAAAGTTCTCGATCAAGGTATCACCATATATGATTAAAGTATTAAACCTTGAGAGAGACTTGCAAACCGTCCCTGTTTAAATAATAGCATAGGTTAGCTTCACTAAGGAGTTAGCTTCACTAAGGAACAGAAAAAAAAAAAAGGAAGTAAGGGGTCTATCTTGATATGTCAAATTTGTCTAGAACCTAGCAGGTACAGTCCTGAAATTTTATCACATGTTTAGCCGTGTGAAAAGTTTGATTGATTGGAAAGCATACCAAACATTATTATTTGTGGTATATAGTAGAACAATCCTCTTTTGCAAAAGGTTTATTGATGGGAAAATATACCATACATTTTCATGCATGAGATCTTCCTCTGTCACATGAATGACTCAAGTGTAATGTAGATTGTACTTACCCAAAAAAAAAGCATAATGTAGATTGCTTAGAATAAAATGTAATATACCTGTTTGTGCGTACGCTGTGTGGGATATCTGAACTGAACATCTGCCATCTATCCTCATGAATAATGGTGGAGATGAGCTATGGTTCACTTTTAAGTCGTGAAGGGGGCATCTATTCATCCCTATTGCCTGTTGTTGAGGATGGACGGTGGGCCGGGATTTGTATTCTTCACTATCCAGGCAATGTATGGTATGCACTAATATGATAAATTAGTGTACTGCCCCTTGGGCTTCAGTGTAATGATAAACATTCCGGCTTGTGTGTACTGTTTGAGTGGAAGAAATCAAGTTTGATCTGAAACCGCCAAACAAGCTAAGCTTCCGCCTGTATATTTTAGATCATGCTGCTCTATTGACATCAGAGAATCAACTAGGAAAATACCCATCATCAAAAATCTGTTTGTCACTAAAATGGACCATAGATGCTCTAATGATGTACTCTATACATATATATACATACATATGTGTGTTGTTGATAATAATTTCCCTTGATTGATTGGCTTCTGGCCTAGGTGCTGCACAAAATTGAAAGGGGTTTAACTTATGGGGGGTCTCATTTGGTTGCAGGAGGATAGAGAAAGAAGAGGAGATATTGAAAATAAAAGTGAAGCCAGGATGGAAGAAGGGCACCGAGATCACCTTTGAGGGCATGGGTGATGAGCGCCCCAGTGCACTACCAACTGATGTGGTGTTCTTGATTGCAGAGAAGCCGCACCCCTTCTTCAAGAGAGAAGGCAATGATCTGGTCTTGGCTAGGGACATCCCCTTAGTGAAGGCCTTGACTGGGTGCACCCTATCTGTGCCCCTCTTGGGTGGAGAGAAGATAAGTTTGTATTGCAATGAGATAATATTTCCAGGATATGAGAAGGTGATCAAGGGCCAAGGCATGCCCATCCTCAAAGAAAATGGAAAGAGAGGGGACTTGAGAATTAAGTTCCATGTAGAATTTCCTTCCTCTTTGAGTCCTGATCAGAGAGTGGCAATTCAACAGCTCCTCATTGGCGAATCATGATCTTTTCCCCTCTCTCTTAAGTCATTGTTGATATATTAATGAATTAGTCACAATGGCCCTTCTTTGTACATCTTGTATAATATGTGATGCTTTTGTCATTATGGTTTCTCTTTATTTTTGATTTTTGAGGGTATGTTTTTACGGTTTTGTTCTTGAGATATTCAAAATGGGAGGAAAGACTTGTCTAACTCAAACATGTATACTCCAAATTTTCTCTCCGTGAAAGGGCATGCGGTCACGGTGGTAACACCCCCACACCTTAGTCAACACATTGTAGTTTTCATTTCCTACTAAAACCAATTTACTAACCCTTTCATAAAATTAACCCTTGGATTATTGGGTAGGGGCTTGAATTCTCCACTTAAATTACCCAAAAAAAAAAAAGAGAAAAAAGAATTTCTCTCCATTTTCATGCTTTTGAATATTTTTGTAAAAAGGAAATCTGAATATATCCGAATGTTGAACTTTTTCATTTGGAAAATTAGCAGTAGACTATTTGAAACGGGTAGGGGCTTGTATTCTCCACTGAATTATCCAAAAAAAAGAAAAAATTTCTCTTTTTTCATGCTTTTGCATATTTTTGTAAAAAGGAAATTTGAATATATCTGAACGTTATGTGCCTCATTGAACTTTTTCATTTGGAAAATTAGCAGGCTATTATGTATGCTGACTCGCTTTCGGCATGTTTGGCATTGAGTGTCAATCATCTTGAATTGATTTTCTTCGCCAATATCTCGACTCAATGGATGAGGTGTTTCAATTGATATCTTTATTATTCATATAAATAGAAATGTAGATTGCTCAACTGTCATTTATAAATGGACGGTGTAGATCACTTGCAAAATTCTAACAGTATAAAAAACCTCCCTAGTTGGGTTAAGTTTGGGTTGGGGTCGACTTTGACCCGACCCATTTACACCCTTAACCTTCTCCAAGGCTATCTAATCAAGCATATTTATAAACACATAAGAATTTTGAAAATGGACGGTCCACATAATGTGTTGTAAGATGTAACATTTTGTAGATTTGAAATCTTTTTTTTTTATATCCATATATCTCGATGATATCGAGATGATCGATTTGATGGTTTAACAACATCAAAATAGCCTTCTCGATGTATTTTTTATGCACACCTTAATTCTACAATGTACACTTTAATTCTACAATATAAATGTCAATTTTATATAAATTTTTTTCCGGACTGAAATTGTGATATGTATTTATTATCATTACACACCCAAAAAAATTAGAAATAATAAATCGAAAAATTTAAAATGATTAAAATGGCCCTAAAAATTTTAGAAGGGTATTTAAGTCATTCTTATAATTTTTTTAGGTGCACCCAAATGAATCAAAATTGAAACCAATATAATTTTAAAAAACAAGGAATATAATTTAGATAGGGAGATACACTCTCCACCATCCAAAAAGTAGAATTTAGAGATATACATATCCTCTCAACTATCGGAGAAAGATTAGGTCGAGAAACCATTCAAGAAAGATTAGGACGCTCTACGTGATGAAGTTTCTATAAGACCTGGGGTTTATGCAAACAAAATAAAGCCTCACGTCAAATTATTATTTGCAGAACACTTTTGGCAAAAAAAATCTCTATGATAGCTTTAAATTTAATTTCCAACACCGACAACAAAATTTAAAACTTAGAAATTGGCTTTGAATGCTTATTTTTAAGGAGAAATAGACGGTTTAATAATTTGTTACAATATACATTATTTTTAGAACTTGAAATTTAAATTTTTTTCACAAACATAATGTTCAAGCCGGTATATCGGTGTAAATGTTTTCTAGTGGTTGAATTGCAATTTTTGATGAGTTATGACGTGAGGCTTCACTTATTTTGATAGGGCTGCAGCCCTATCAAACCATTTTCTTTTTCTAAAAGGGTGCTGCCCGTCCATTTATTTGGACGGTGCAGATTTTGCAAATTTAAATTAGGGCTTCCGTGCCCCGTTCTCTCTGTCGACTCTTTCTCTCTCTAAGTATCTCTGCCCCTGCCTCACCCCTCCAACCATGGCGGTGGACCAAATGAAGCAGGTGAAGATGGGCAGAAGACCTCCTACACACCAACGAAAAAACAGGGAGAATTTCAGACAGCAACGAGAAACAGGGAAATTTTTAGAGAGAGAGAGGGCATATAATAGAGAGAAACATAAGGGTGAAGAGCATTTCACAGTTAGAACTTCTCCCTCTCATGGCCATACCCACCCAAACTCACACTCCATCTTTCTCTCTCTAAATTCTTTCTCCAATGAATCTACTATCCACATCCACTTTAAGCTCCCATCCCTGTCTCTCTCTAACCCACAAACTCGGATTCTTCTCTCTGAGCAACGGCGAGCATTGTTGAGGCCCTAAGGCTGGTGGTGAGTAGGAAGAGAAATCTTAACCATAGGGAGAGAGAGATTTTAGAGAGAGAGGGATCGATTGTCCAGAAGTTAAATGTGTTTTGAGGGGTAAAACGTTTTGAGGAAATTGGCTGATGGGGTGTATACGTCCATTGATGGAAAAAAAGAGAAGCAGATTGTTGATAGAGTGAGAGATTTTACAGAGAAATTGGCCGGTGGGGTATGTCCCATGAGAGAAATTCTTCTGAGAATTTAGAAATGCAAGGCGATGGTAGAGCGAAAGAGAGAGAGATTACAGCTGTTGATGATGGCCAACAACCTCATAGAGAGAGAGCAAGCACTAGCAAAGAAAACGAAGGCAAAGAAAAAAAAAGAAGAAATCTTTCAATAAAAAAGTACCAAAAACATATTTTTCACAAACTAGAACAAAAAAAGATTGTAGATGAATTGTTAAAAGTTGAAACCGAGTATAAGAATAGTCGAAATGTGACCCTAGGTATAAATTTCCTTTCTGGAAAAGAGATTCTTCAACATGCAGACAACTTTATGGAACTCCTAGAATACCCCCCTCCTGTAAATTTCAAGACTTCCACTTCAAGAATGCAAGGAACCTGAGACTAAACTCAGAAACAGTTTTATACGTAACTAGCAGGGGTACAACTTCCAGGAAATTCAAATGAAATCTGTAAGAAAATGCCAAAGAACAAGTAAAATAACTACCACATATACGAACTTCCAGTATGTTCAAATGCCACGTTTTTCTAATTAAAGGAAATGGACGACTCAAGGTCTCACATGTAAATAGCCTCAAAATCTTATTTCAGCATTCAGCACGACGCTGCTCAAATGAATATCTATTATAACAAATAAATGTGTACAATATTAACTATATTCTGATGCATCCTGGAATGATCCCCTAGTATTCCTGCCTTTCTTTCTGTTTCTTCCTTTACACTAGGACCGTTGCCTTCCTGCTTCTCATTTTTCTCTTTCTTCATTGGAGTATTTTATCGTATGATGGATGATACAGATTTAAAGGCCGACTGCCCATCAGAAGTATCTGGCCATCCATCTAGCTCATCCACTTTAAAAATGACAGTGTACAAGACTATATATACAGTACCTAAGGTGGGCCTAGTCTTATTGCAAAGCTTACAAGGCCTTCTGATCAAGGCGCTCATTCCAATTAAGGCATCGGATTAAGCTTAGGAACCAGTCCCCTGTTTGATCGAATTTGTTGACGGTGGGGAGAGGATGTTCGCTCATTTGGATTTGAATGGAGTCACCCCTTGACAACTGCTGCCTCCTTTTTCCATCAAAGGAAACCCATGCATTGCTTCTTGTATCATCAGGGATCTATTGGAACACAAAAAGCAAGAACCACTAGCTTGAGAGTAAAGCTAAAACATTGGCAATTAAAAAAGGGCAAGGTAAATCACACTCCATTTAGGAAAAGAGCCCAGGCTTAATGGTTAGCGCTTGACGATTTGCAACGCTGTCCTAGGCTTAATTCCTACCAAGGGTAGGGCCCCCCCAGTGACTCACCCAAAAAACAAAATCACAGTCCATTTGCCTGCGGAATGTGGTACTCCAAGTCCACATCCATGATCTGTTCTCACTGATGGATAATTGGGATCAACTGATTGGGCCCCAAAAGGGCATTCAACAGGTAGAGTGAATTGCCAACCATCCATCAGAGGAAATGGGATGGTGGATGTAGCTTGGATTATCATATCACATAGTCCATTGGACTATGCCATATCTTTTGATCCAAAAAGCCTGAACAAATCTTCCACAACACATTTACACAAGGAATCTAATAGAGAGCATGAAGTTGAATGAGAACAAATAGTTTGTGTGGGTCTTTCATGCACATTGAGGCTTGCCGCATGCCCCATGTGGTCTGAATGGTCCTGCAGTTCTGTTGTAAACTGTATGGCACACCACGGGGATCCACCATTCGTTCCTCAAGAATGATGATAAACAATAACCACAGCTCTCAAAGATACAGTTAGCCTTCACCATTTCTCATCACAAACAGAGTGTGGATAGCCCCGTGGTTTACCAAACACCATGCACCAGTATCAGACCACCAGTGGTGTATGGCATACTCTTCCTCTTAAGATTAGAAATCATGATCTACGCAGCCGAAAAAAAGAAAAATAGAATCATGATCTGGACTTTATTTAAAGGCTTTTATGCTTGATACTAGGAAGTAATGATGATCAGTATCAAAAAAAAAAGTAATGATGACGATGATGATAATGAGACTGGTCATTTGAAGAGCTTATAAAATCTAAGTTCTGATAGAACTTTTCGAGAATCTTCTTTGATAAAGATACAGAGACCACAAACGGATCAGTATTTGATTAAGGGCAGCGGTCTCTTTTAAATAAAGTAAGGACAGCTTTTGCATCTGGTTGAGTGGCTATACACACAGTCCATGCTGATCTTTTAAGTAACCAACTGAGCATTTTGTTTGGCTCACAGACAAGCAGAAACTAAATTGATCTGACCAAGGACAAGAAGAATAGAATTTTAACAATTGGTGAGCATCATGGTACTATGGCAGATTAAAAATATGATTTCTAGAAGTAAATTTTACTAAACTTTCATCATGAAAGGTAAATTTCTAGGGTCAGTCATGTTGCAACAATATTAGAAGCAGCATAATTTGGAAGTGGGTGGTATCATCTGAAATGAGTTTCATGGCATAACAGGTACCTGTTGCTATATGTCTTCATTCAAAAACATACAAACTTCATCAAACAATCTAAAAGTTTCCCTGTAAGAGATTTCACTGGCATTCAGGCCTGTTTAGATCTCACTTATTGTAACAAGTCATTGTTGCTGATGTCATCATTACTTAAAAGATGGTCTTTTTGATTGACCATTTCCCATATATTTACTATAAAAAAGTTGCAGATTTCTTCACTATTACCTGGACATACGCACAATTACATCATGAAAAATTGTACTCAAATACATGGGAAATTTATCAAAATGCAACTAAGTGACAAACTATTTAACACTTTACCCATTTCTTTAATTTAATTTCAAAAAGCCCCATCAAAATACACATGATCATGAGTTGGAATAAGATGAAACTGGGTAAAATGCCAAATAATTGATAAGTTGGGTGCATTTTGATAGTTTCCCTAAATATATTGATGCACCAGATAGGACGGGAATGCAATGTCTTAGGTTACATTCAGATTATGTTAGAATGGGGGTTGTGTTTGTGTCCATATATTATCCAAAAACGGTACCTTAGTTATTAAATGTACATGTCTCTAATGGATTTAGTCCCCTTTTTCACTGACGAGAATATGATTTTCTTAAGCTAATAATGTATATACTGAAAATCATTACTCAAATACACTTCCTCGCATGTTGTTCATAGTTTGCAAACAGTTTCATTTCCATAATAGTGAGAACGTATGGTAATCATGGTTCACACTTCCAGAGTTAGATCCATGCGTCAATCTTAGCAAATTGGAGCACATCTATTCTTCTAAGATACACACGAGCCATAACTACATTCTTATAATAGGTTTATTTTATAACATTTTAGTAGTAAACATTAGTTCACACTTTCAGAGTTAGATCCATGCGTCGATCATAGCAAATTGGAGCACATCTATTGTTCCAAGATACACACGAGCCATAACTACATTCCTATAATAGGTTTATTTTATAACATTTTAGTAGTAAACATTATCTTCTATCTTCTATTTGACTTTTTTATATTAATGTCATGGTAAACCCACCAGCATGAAGAAAACAGTCTCATTTGAAGTACTAAGATGTACTCAAAGCAAAAGTGAACCATAAGCTCTGGAAACTGAGAAATTAGGAAATAGATGCCATCAAGGCACAAGCATGAAAATAAGGCAAGGGCAAGCATTGAGTATCATGTAACAGTTCAAAATGGCCTAAAGTATTTGGCCTATGAAAACAAAGGATGCCAATAATTGCAAAAGCCACAATACTAAAGGCAGGATAAGCAACTTTAGAATGATATCAGCATATATAAATAGACAATAGCTTCCTAGTTAATATCTTCCCCATTATTTAGGGCAATCATTTGTAAGAATAATTAGTATAACAAAGTGCAAAGGAAGGACGTCTACAACTATGCTTTGAAGATGGATGATTAAAGTCACCTTCAATTCTAGTCGAGCAGAATCCGGAAGTATCACTGGTCGAAATGACAGTGAGTGTGGGCAGATAGGAGTGAATAGCATACAAGGAACATTTGGATGCACCTGAATTTCAAATACACAACTGAAATGTGAACAACCATATTCTAACAATCAATAAACAAAGGAAACCACATGATATTCAAAATACAGAAAACAAGATGCGCATATCATTCGTATCATTTGCCAGGGGTGATCACAAAGACAATCTTTGAAAGCAAGGAACTGTTGAACTTTGTTATCATCCATAGAAACCCCTTATTAAATGGGATGCAATTGCAGAAGCTTTAGTAAGTTTAGGATTTTTGAAGGCTTGAAGCAAATAATCCGTTTGAGAGAGAGAGAGAGAGAGAAAGAGAGAGAGAGAGAGAGAGAGAGAGAGAGAGAGAGAGAGGGAGAGGTGTG